CTAATCAGCTCTTCCCTGTTAGCTCACAGAACTCGATTTTTTCAAATGAATTTCTTAGTTCACCTATGCCAACACAGTATCCTAGGCAAAAGAAGAGAAACCGCCTATTAGCGCTTTTTTCTCCGTAACTATATTAGGATGCTATTTCACAATTTTCCAAGCAGTTTTATTTTGAGTTTGGCCTCATGACAAACCTGAGGCATAGGCGGAATAAGTCACTCCATCCTATTTTACACACAACAAAACTGGGACTCAGAAGGTTAATGACTTTCTTAAGATCAAACAGCCAAACAACGGCCAAGTAAGACTCCCTGGGAAGATGCCTTTTCATTACTCTGCTGTTGCCTTTCATTCGTGAAGCTCCTTGGAGTCAGTCATTAAAATTTCTAAACTCTAGCTCACCTGGAACAAATGTTAATTTCATTGGTAGGGGACTATCCCCAAAGACATTTTATAAGAGAACTTAAACACTACTCACCCTTAATTTTTTTAATGATAGGTCTATGTATTTGCATTTCTCTTCTAAATTAAAGGGAGCGTTTTAGAGCTATAGCATCATAGACAATGTCGGGGAAACAGCGAGGCTCTTACTTTGCATTCGGTAGAGGCTTGCCCTGTGGTCAACAGAGTGCGGTTCATTAGGAACAGTACAATTCGTAGGACGAGAGTAGTAGCAGCAACAGCAGCAGCAATAGAAAGAGTAGTAACAGTGATAGCACTCAGCACGATTATTCTAACTAATGTTTAGTTAACGCTTTGGATACGCCAGACGCCATTCCGAAGGCTCTCCCTGCATTTTCTAAATTATCCCTCATGATACTCTTTCTAGGTAAATACTGTTAACTCTCCCCATTTCAAAAAGGAGGAAACTGAGGCATAGAGAGGATAATACACTTTCCCATTGGGCACATAACTAGGAAGTGATCAAGCCAGGATTCAAACCCAGCAGGCCCAAACTTGTCACTGCTCTCTCTCTTCCTCTGTTGTTTTCTCCAGCGTAGGGTCAATACCCTGAAAAGAATTCTTACGAACGGAAAATAAGGGAAGACAAATATTAAAATTAGAAAGTTTTAATACTCAAAATTCTTGAAATTAATTCCGGTTGTCCCATAGTTTACAATCATTTTCCTGCCTAAAATACAGCGCATAAAATACCAAGCACGTGTTACAGCAACACCATATTGGCTTTGAATATGAAATATTTCTTCCCTGGTTGGGGACACAATCTTTTGGGAATGTAGCCTTTTATATTCTTCACAGAAAACACACACGCATATATATATATATATATACATATATATATATATATATATGGACCCACAAAGATCATCTTTTTTCATAGGCTAGTGTTCCCAGTATTTCAAATTTCTTCACACACTGTGATCACCATACAAACAATTCCCCGTAGGGTATACCATTGCAAATGGAATTCAGAAATAAGAAGACGTGTGTGTGAATTCTATTGTGTTTTTGAATTTACACTCCTTGTGTGGTCTGGAGTTATCCCAGTAGTAAATTTCACGGTAGTAGGCAAAACTGGTCAAGGTCATTGTTCCTAGCTTGAAGGACACTTGGTTAAAGCCCAGATCGGTCAACATATGACCCTAGGAGGAAGGGAAGCATTGTGTTCCGGTGAATGCTGTAAGAAGGGAGACAAGAATGCTGAAGTTGAGAACCTTAGGGTTTAGATAAGGGCCTTTGCCCTGTCAATGTTACTCAAGGTCAGTGGGATTTTCTTTTTTAATCCTACATCCTCTCAAAACCTGGGCAGCATTCAGTGAGGGTGAGGGCTTTCCTTCTGTATGAAAATCTGAATATCATGGTGACTACAAATTTGAAGAAAAGTATGTGGCTTGTGCTTTTTTGCCTTTTAAGAATTAAAGTTTATCAAAAAGCTCTGTTTTGAAATCAAGCCTCACTCTTTTACCTCTTGACTATGAAGTCTGTAACTTGAGCTGTATATTTCCTTCACGAGTTTGGAAAATGCTAGCATACCTTTTAACTTAAACTTCTAGGCAGTTTTTATGATCTATAGATTAAGACCAAAAAGTGTATATCCTTTTTAATCTAGACTTTTCAAGTAGCAGCCCATGAGTGAGAGGTGGCTTCCAAAATTATTTATCTTTCTTCGGTAAAATAAATGATATGACTTACATTTATTAAAATTTTAATTTATATTTTTTATTCCTAAATGTGTACACATATGCTCTGATGTTGGTTGATCGTATTTCTCTAACAGAGAAAGGTATTCGTTAAAAGGAATTCACTTGGAAAAAGGTGACCAAGTTATTGGTTTCAGTTTTGTGAATTCTTATGCTACCAATTAGGGATTTAATAAATAATAGATACTAAGCTCTTTTTCAAAAATCAAATGCCACCTTATGGATAAAAAGGGCTGCGTACAGTACACATTACTTTAACACTGAAGGCTTGGCTTAAGTAAGGAGGAGCAGGGACAGAAAGGTCATCTTATACCTTAGGACATTTCTAGAAAAGGAAAGCCTTAGAAGTGTATGCTTCACCTTAGGAAGGTTTTTGAATAGCGTGAGGATCCAAAAAGTGGAAAATTGGAGCCACAGGGCTGGGTAAAATGAGTATATAAAGGAAGGCAGACTTTTCGCCAGGATAAACTTTAATTGCTTTGTAGTACAGGAACTGTACTGTGTGCCTTTAAAAACTCTCTCCCTTTTTCCTTTCATAGCGAAAGTTAGTAACGTTGGCTTTAGATGCTTGCTACTCATTTTGTTTTTTGGTTCTATTTGTTACCTGAAATAAATGAAATTATGTCATTTGATTCAAGAATAGGATGTTCTAGGGACTCTTGGGTGGCTCAGTCGGTTAAGCACCTGACTCTGCATTTCGGCTCGGGTCGTGATTTCACAGTTTGTGAGATGTGGCCCCCTGTCAGGCTCTGCACTGACAGCACAGAGCCTGCTTGGGATTCTCTCTCTCTCCCTCTTTCTCAGCCCCTCCCTTGCTCTCTCTCTCAAAATAAATAAACATTAAAATAAAGAATAAGGGGGCGCCTGGGTGGCGCAGTCGGTTAAGCGTCCGACTTCAGCCAGGTCACGATCTCGCGGTCCGTGAGTTCGAGCCCCGCGTCAGGCTCTGGGCTGATGGCTCGGAGCCTGGAGCCTGTTTCCGATTCTGTGTCTCCCTCTCTCTCTGCCCCTCCCCCGTTCATGCTCTGTCTCTCCCAAAAATAAATAAACGTTGAAAAAAAAATTTAATAAAAAAAAAAGAATAGGATATTCTAGTTAACTGAGAAATACCAGATTATATATACATTATACATTTGCGAGGAAGGGGAGCCCACCCAAATATACTGAAACTCTGCCAAAATTACTACTGTTTGATTTTTATTATGTAAATATCATACCAACATGAAAGAACAAATATTAGAACAAAAATGACTGCTCTTCAGAAACATCAGTTAATTTCAGTTTCCTCTGCTCCCCTCCTAGTTCATGACTTAGAGATTTAAGAAATACAATACAGATAGAAATTGTGTTTTGTTTGTTACTTATGATTTTGGCACACTAGAACATTGGGTTGATATATTGTGTGATTCTAATGTCCTCTCATTAAAAATTGAAATTTCCTCATTTTTATGCTATAATAGTTAATGATGCTCTTTATTCCTATAATGTATTTCTCTTCTTTTAAATATTTTATTTGGAGAAAATACCAAAAGCACAATTACGAGGTCAGTGGGAGTAAGCATGTATATGTCACTTGATATCAATCGCCAGATTGTCCTGATAGATATTTGTTCCCAGCAGTAGTACATGGATATGCTAGTTTTACCATAGTGCTTCCAGCTTTGGGTTTTATTTTTTTATTAACTTAACTGATGTCAAATTGTATCATCTTGATTTAATACTCTATTTTTTTCATTTGTTTATTTTTGAGAGAAAGAGAGACAGAGCATGAGCAGGGGAGGGGCAGAGAGAGAGGGAGACACAGAATCCGACGCAGGCTCCAGGCTCCGAGCTGTCAGCGCAGAGCCCGACGCGGGGCTTGAACTCATGAACCGCGAGATCATGACCTGAGCCTAAGTCACTCAACCGACTGAGCCACCCAGGCACCCCTATTTTTTTAGCTTTTTAATTTAATTTTAAAAATATAAATCTTTTATTCTTTCTCTTGCTTGAATGTCTTTTTCATGATCCTTTGCCTGTTTATCAATGGCTTTACCTACCACGTTGGATTTGATATAACTATCTTAGTAATTGAATATTACCTTAATGCTTAGAAGCCTCCTCCATGCACTTAGAGCAGTCGTTAATAGGCTTCTAGATAAACCTGTCATTGCCTTATTTATTTTCTGTGCGGTATTTTAAGTGATGTAATACATAGCTTGATAATACTCAGTTGTCAAACAGAAACAAAAAATCAGGTCATTTGGTTTAGCGAGATTCTTATGTTTGAAATTGTGCTCTAATTTTAAAGTAGGATATTTATTAAAGTGTTATGAATAAACTTGGCCTTCAAAAAAGTTCATAAGTAGTATGCAGTGCTATTCTTTTGATGTTTAATATTTTCTCTATGCAGCTGTAGTTGAATGCCAGTAGATGGCACTAATTACATAAACAATTCAACAAGTTAATGAAGAGGGAAGGAAATACATGAGCTTTGTTTTCCGTTCAAATTTTGGTATATGCCCCGTAGTCAACAACTCTATGAGAGCTTATTTTTATAGTTTGTTCTCTCCCATGAGAAAAACAATTAAGCCCAGTTGATCCCCAATCAATTGCTACTGAATTGAAATACCGGACACTGAGGATTGCTCAACATGCCGCATTTGAAAAGTTTTGTCATGAAAAGTGGGTTGGATTATGCCGTCACGATTGACTAAATCACATGGTAGGTACAAAGTGAACATGCGGACAAGTTCTGACCTGCGAACTCAAACGCTATTTATGAAAAATTTTGAGAAACTGCAACTCAAAATCTCAGAGAAAACTGACATTCCTTTTCTTTCCCATATGTATCCATAGCAGTTGGCCAAAGACCTCCGCCAGTGGCAGATAAATGTAGATGTTGCAAATGATTTGGCCCTGAAACTTCTCCGGGATTATTCTTCAGATGATACGAGAAAAGTACACATGATAACAGAGAACATCAATGCCTCTTGGGCAAGCATTCATAAAAGGTAGGAACTACATTATTTCTAAACCTATCGTTGACTATAGTGATGGATGCGGTGGTGACAATGGGTGGCCATTGCGTATTTTGTTTTCCTACTCCTGCTAAACTGGGGCTCCGGAGGCTCCAAGGTGACAGTTGCCAACTAAATTCACAGTCTTGCCTAATACCTCTAGAATTTTAAAGACGAGGGACATGAAGACTGGTGAAATTAAATGATTTGCCTACCGTTGCGAAGGTAGTGAAATAACTAAGAGTTTAGACAAACACAAAATATGGATGTTTAGCTAGAAGAACCATTTATCAATATGTTTTGAGAAGTCTACCCAAAGAAATATCATTCCATTCCACAGTGGCACATGTTGCCCCATTCTTAATCTGACAAGGAAGTCACTTTGGGTTTCTTGATGGAATTATAGTTGTCCATGGTGCCATCTTTGTATCTCACTCCACATATGCAATGGGAAAATTCATGTAGTGTAACATGACTCATAACTTCATTTCCCATTCTATGTCAGTGAAAATTAACAGCTCTTAGAGACACTACCCCCTCAAACTAGGTTCTGTGTCTTTATTGTCCACTCTCTTAACCCCTTGTGCTTTTCTTTTAATAGCATTTATCCTAATTTTAAATAAAAACATGAATTATATCACTAGTTGTTTAACGTCTGTACTTCATATTAGTCTAAACTCCCTGAGGACAGAGACTATCTTTCTTACTTGACACATCCTGAGGTCCTGAACCAAGTGATACAGTGGGGAGCTGGTAAATATTTGTTGAATGATGACTCCCTTTGCATAATATAAAGTTACCTTGTTCATGCTATGGAAAGTTAAAGATTATTGGGTCCTCATTTTTAGCTGTGTCAGAAAACAGGGGCAAAAAGAGTACTTATACAATGATTAGGAACACCACAGTGAAAGGTAAATAAGTCCCAGAAGATGACATGAATTACTGAAGAAGTCAATTTGGTGGCCTTTATGAAGAAGATAAGGCCACCATCAAGAGGGGAAAAAAAAAAAACCCCAACAGATTTTGAACTAAGAGCAGAATCTCTTAGGACCCATGAGCTACTGATATATGGAAATTGTGAAAGCAAGTAAATCTTGAAATCGAATCAGGAATTAAAGAGTGAAATCTCCTGAGAAACTGGATTCATGCTGGTGGTCCTAAGGCCATCTTGAATTCCAGACAGTTGGTGTTCAGATAGATGACCATGGAAAAGAAGTTTCAATCTGAAGTTGGGAGTTCTATTTGGGGCCCTATCTAAAGGACCCTGGTGGAGAGAGGGTGAGCTTGAATACAGGAGTGATAATTCGAAAAAATTCTTAAAGTTACTGCCGCCTCTCAGTGGCAGGGTTTGAACTTTGTGTTTTAAATACAGATCCGGTATCTGTTGAGTTAAATAAGGCAGATTAGGCTTAGGAAGGCTTATTTATATGTGATCAAATGGTATCAGAGACTCAGAAGTTAGATCTCAATGGGAAATGCCTGCTTCTCCAAGAGTAGCCTCTTTGGGGAAGCAAAATAACATCAGGAATTAATATGATGAGTTCAGGGAGTGTAAGCTAAGAAGGGGCCAAAAAGAAAGCTTGTTTGTGGTCCAAAACTTGAGCTTCAAGGGAGGTGTATCCCATCTGTGTCACTCTTTCTGGAAGTCCCCTGTCTCCACGTTCCCATGCTTCTCTAACGTCCAAGTAGCTCTCTCTGTTCTTTATCACTTTCGTAAGGTCTTTGGATTCTTCAGAGGGGGGCTTCCAGTTTATATTTTTCAACTAGGTCCCTAAAAATCTACCACCTAAGGAAGGTATATGCTTATTTCTCCAATGCGTAAGGTCAAAACAGAAGGTTAGCGGCCAAATTGCATTTTCCCCTGGCCGATACACAATCTGAACTTTGCCAAATTAATTTTACTGAAGCTTCTAAAGTTCTTCCCTGTGCCATTCTCACATGTTCTCTGAAAATTCATCCACTTGTGTAGTTTCAGTCCATTGATGACTATCCTTTTATATCATTTGCAGCTGACAATGATCTTTTGACTTTCTGACCTACATATCCTAGTGACTTATTTCCATTTGAATGTCCCTCCGGAACTTCAAACTGAATGGGCCCAAGGCTGAACTCATTTTTGCCCTCTTCCAACCTTTCTCCAAATGTGACCTACTTTTCTTCCTATGATCCCTCTCCAGTGAACATTACCACAACCCATTCAGTTGCCAAATGAAAACTCATGCTTGACTCTTCCTTTTACAACCCCAATAGCTAAGCTACCACAAAGCTATTTACTGCTGAAATAGCTTTCAAATCCAGCCACGTCTCTTTATCCCTCCTCCTCAACTGTCACATTTGGCCTCAGTGACTACGTCATTCGCCTAACGGGTATCCCTCCTTCTAGTCTTCCTAGTTCCTATCCATTCTCTGCATAAAATGCAGGATGATCTTTCTAAATACACTATATTTATGTAGCTCACCCTCCTCCCACTTTTAAAGCCTCTAGTGGCCTATCCATTATTATTTGAAGACAGTCCATACTTCTTTAAATGATTTCAAGGTCTTGTGTGATTCAGCGTTTCCTTAAAACTCCAGCCTAATTTTCTGCTCTTCCTCAATCTTCCCTCCCAGCGCTCCCCACATGTAATTAAGTAACACTGAGCTCCTTCCACTTCCTCATCCTATGTTCTGTCTTCTCTACTGACTCCTGACCTGAAACACATTTCACACACACACACACACACACACACACATACACACACACACACACATATATATAATATTAAATAACAATTCCTTCAGGAAGACTTTTCTAACTACCAACCTCAAAGTGCATACTCTTTAGGCCTCCCATCATAGGCCCCCTATTATCATGCTTACCTCACTACTTAAGTGTTTGCTGGTCTTTGTCTCTTATGAGAATGTTGGCTCTGTGAGGATATTCACATTGGCCGCTTGTCCACTGTATCACCTTGCACATAGCTTTGCGCGTATTCACTATCCCCAACACATTTTTCATTAAATAGGTAAATGAACAAATGAAAAATAACTACAAGTGTTCTGGTGTGCCAATAACTCAACACAGAAGAAAAATGTATCCATTAAGATTGCTTTCAATTTCAAATAACAGAAAACTCAAGTTCAGTAGCTTACCTAACAGGTTTATTTGTCTCATTTATTGAGCCGTTCAGAGGTAGGCAGATGACTGACATTGGCTCAGTGGCTCAGCAATGTCAGCCTTGAAGTTTCCATGTTCTTCTTGGCATCTCCCTTGGAACATATACATTCCAGCAGGAAGTAAAAGGACACAGGGCGGTGCTTGTATCAGGAAAGCAGTGGGATTCCCAGGAAATTTCACACCTAAACTGTGCAACACAACCACCTCTAGTGGCTAACAATTGGGGTCGGGTCAGCCAATAGAGAATGCCTGCCACGAATGGGATGGAAAGAATAAACTGATCAATTGGCACGCTGTAGCCAGAGAGCATTAAGTTCCCTGGAAAGATAACCAGTCAGATCTTTGAGTAAATACGGTTATGTTCACTTAGCTCGTATATTCGTGTATGTTATATTCATGCGGTATATGTACGTAGGATCATAAAACAGTGGCCATTTGGGCTTGATGGCTGTTCTGGTCAGTGGGAAAGGTCTTGACGAGAGCTGGATTCTCCACTGGCTAATGATACCTTTACATTAGAAGTTTGCATTCTGTGTATGCTTTGTGTGTCACCTGCACAGATTAAGCCATGCTCTACTTGACTACAGTTTTTCTTATTTTACATTCTTACAGACCTTGTGCTAGATAGATAAAGAACAAGAAAACTCTTTATATGATCTCTTGTCTTTTGACCTTTTTATCCAGTGTCTTGCCCAGGTAAACCAAGAAGCCAAGTAACATCGTCATCTTCCCATAGATTTATGTGGTCCAGCGGGGTAGCCGGTAGCCGTGGGTGGGGATTTAAATGTAAATTAAAGTTAAATAAAATTTAAAATTCATTTTCTCCATCTCATCAGCCACCTTTTCACCTTAGGTGCTCAAGAGCCACGTGTAACTAGTGACTTCCCTATTGGACAGTGCAAAATAGAACATTTCCATCATCACAAAAGATTTCTTTGTCTGTGTTCAGCTAAGCAATTTAGGGCACATTTCTAACAATCACATAACAATCACATAACCTAACAATCACTTCAAAAGAGTTATTGCCAGATGTTATAAATAAAGAGATATTTCTTTTACAGAATGGTTCCCATCATTTTATTTTCTTGTTTCTACTTGATATCTTCCATTTATCCACTTTCTAGAGTTGGCATTTAAAGTCCCCAAACCTACAACTATCACAGGATATAAACACTTTCGTTTTTGTTGTCACTCTTTTCAGCATCATTTTAAAAGGAGAAATTATTAATGCTGATATTTGGGCGATAGAGAAAAAGTATTTCATATCTTCACAGAGTACCTATCAACAAGACTTTTTAGGTAGGAGGGACTCTGCCAAAAGCATTCTGATCACATTATTTCTCAGAATTTGGGTTTTACCACAGAAGGCTAATGTATTGCCTGCACTGAAACTCTCAATCATATAAAAAAATTCATGCAAACAATCTGCACATTTGGAAGCCTATTTAAAGCAATAAAAATCTTCAGTGCAGTTTTAAATTGTTGAATAATATATAAAAACTATAACTTGGAAGAGCTTTACTTTGACATTATACCCTGGCAAGCTAGAGTTTTGAGACCATCGAAAACAAAAGTAAACGGATTTTGTTTTGTATTTTACTGTTCAGTTTATTAATAGGTCAGAGAAATCTTTGATTCTACCCTGACTTTGATAGGAGCTTTCCCATTTTATGTAGATTAGCACAAATAGTCATGCGTGCCCAAAAGGAATTAGTCTACTATTCACGATTAAAAGAAAAGGCTACTTCCTAACTCAGTTCTGTAGTTTAACAATTCAGGTCAGAACACAGATCATCATTGTGACCTACGTAGGAAAATATTTTGTTTTCCTGATCAT